TCTACTAACTTCCTAACCATTACCCTTGTCAAAAAAAAAAAAAAAAAAATTAGCTTTAGTTGCTTAGGACTCCATCTTTTTATTTCTACTAAATTTTAAGGGGCAAAATATTATCTTGAGGTATTATTTTAAAGAAGTAATTTAGTAATTTATGGTCTGCTTGATACAGCATTTAAAATTTAGCGGATAGTGGATAATAGGTAACAGATAGTAAATAGTAGTAGTAAGTAGTGGGTGGTGATTAACGGATAGTGGATGACACATAACGAAAAATGGGTAACGGATAGTAAATAGCAGATTCGATAAATATAATTATTTGGTTATACAATGGTTAGCGATTGTTATTTAACATTAAATAACTAATAAGGACATGTTTAAAAACAAATAAGTATATTTTTTAAAATATTGTTATTTTTTATTATTAAAATTATTAATTTTATAAAAATAATAATAATAACATAAATAAATAAAATTAATTATTTAAATAACATATCAAATTATATTAAAAAATAAATTTATTAATAAATAAATATTTTACAAAAATACATGATCAAATTCAAATTTAAATTTATTATAAAATTAATTTTTTTAAATACATCAAATTAATGTAAGATTCCTTTTAAAATCAACTTAGAAATAAATTAGTCTTATAATAAGTGAAAATTAAACTAGAGACAAAAAAAAGGTCTATCAAATTCAAGGAAACAATCAATTAAAACTACATCTCACAAAGGAAAAATTAAGACCCAAACCATAGCAATGAGAACAAACAAAAATGAGCAGCCTAATTAGGTGAAGAAATTTGGGATTATACTTGAACGATTGGAAGAGGAGCAAATTTTTTTTTTCTTTTGGCCTCCAGAAGGGGATTTTAAGTTTAATGCCTAAGGTTTGAATAATTAACAAATAATTGAATACAGCTACGGAAATGAACTATCAGTTAAAAAGGAATATTAATCATATACACCATTTACTTGCCTGTCTACCTCTGCCACCATTTCCACCATCTGTATCTTTACA